ACTCTTGATTAAGTCCCTAAAGTTTCCTTCACCTCCCAGTTTATCTAGAGTACATATCATGTATGAACACTGAATGTTATAAAATACTTTTTCTGCATCCAGAGAAGCACTGTTCCTATATTTTCTGTTAAAATAGCACATTACATTTGTTGGTTTTCCGATACCATAACAAACTTGAATTTTCTCTAATTAACACATTTTGTTATTCTAGGTCACTTTTGAAACATAGTGAGATTTGATTACTAGTATCTTATTTAAAATTTTTTGCATATTTTTTCATATATAAGATTGGCCTATAATTTGACTTACTAGTCTAGTATCTGGGGGTTCTACATCTGTGGATTCAACCAACCACAGATCAAAAATATTTCCCCCAAAATCTGCATCTGTACTAAACAGGTACAGATTTTTTTATCTTGTCATTATTTCCTAACCAATGTAGTATCATAACCATTTGTATCAAATTTACATTCCATGAAGAATTATAACAAATCTAGAGATTATTTAAAGTATATGGGAGGATGTGTGTAGGTTACACAGGTATGCAAATATTGTGCCACTCTATATCAGGGACTTGAGCACCCACAGATTCTGGTATCCTTGAGGAGGGTACACGAGGAGGTGGGAGGTCCTGCAACAAGTCGCCCCTGAAGACCGAGGGACAACTGTATTGTACTCATTCTGTTTTCAAATCAAGACTATACTAGCCTCATAAAAATGAATAAATTAAATTTATTCTCTCTCTCTTTGCTGAAAAAAATTGCATAAAACAGTTTATTTGCTCCTTATAGGAAGGGTAAACTTACCTGTAAAACTCTTTGGACCTGGTACTCTTGAAAGAATTTTTTTTTTCCTTTTCACCAAGTTAAGTTCTATAGTTACTCTTTATTCTAGTTTGTCACTTCTTCTTGAAACCACCTTGATCATTTATATTTTCTTTAAAAGTTGTACAATTTATCTAAGTTTTAAAATACAGTACAAAAGATATTAACAGTATTCTCTTACATTTCTTGAATTGTTTGCTCTGTAGTTGTGTCCCTCTTTCAATCCCAATATTCTATTTGTATCTTCTTTTTTCTTAATGCTTTCTACAAGAGGCTTGGCTATACTATTAGCCTTTGTCAAAAAAAAAAGTTACTTTGTAGCCCTAATGACCATTTCTTCTGCCTTTTTAAAGCTCTGTAGTATTAATTTCTAATTTTAACTCTGAGTCACTTTGTGAAGACTGAATAAGTTAAAAATATAAAGCACTTAGAACAGTTCTTGGCATTTAAGAAGAACCCAACCTTTTTCTCCTTAGTGCTCACGGTGTCAACCTTTTTTCACTGTGTCATTATTCTTCACCTATCTTTATGTAAACTTTTTACTAATGTATAGCATACATGCAGGAAGGTGCAAAAATGAACATCCCAAATAATCAGCACCCAGACCAAGGTAAGGAACATTACCAGAACCCTAGACTGCCCATCATATTCCTTCTCAGTCTCTACCTGCCTTAAGGGTAGCCATGTTGTCATTTCTAATAAATTAGTTTGGTTTGAACGGTTTTGAGTTTTATGTAAATGAATCACAGTATAGCTACTTTTGTAGCTCACTTCTTTGCTCAGCATTATATGTATGTGAGATTCCCCATGTAGTTACATGTAATTGTAACCCATTCTCACTACTATATAGTATTCCACTATGTGAACATACTATATTTTATTCATCCATTCTATGGCTGATGGACATTTGGGCTGTTTTTAATTTGAAGTTATTATGAATGGTGCTGCTATATATATTCTAGGACAAGTCATTTGGTGAACACACATATGCATTTCTGTAAGTAAAATTACTTTTCTCTGGGATAGAACTAGGAATGAAATTGCTGGATTGTAGGTGGCAGCATATAATAAAAATAAATTTACTTAACCTATACTATGAGATAGATACTTTCATGATGTATGAAAACATCTTTATTTTACCTTCACTCCTGAATTACAGTTTGGCTGATAAAAGAATTCTGGTTTGCAATCATTTTCCCATAGCACCTTAAAGATAATACTAAAAAATGTCAATCTGTTGGTTTTTTTTCCTTTGGAGGGTCAACTAACTTTTTTCTCTAATAGCTTTCGCTATTTTTTTTTCTTTTATTTAGGTGTGAATTTTTAAAAATGTATCCTGCTTATTACACCATGGAATGTTTCAGCACAAAACTCATGTCTGTCTTCAGTTTTAGGAAATTCTCAGTCATAAACTTTTTTCTCTACCATGTTCTCTATTCTCAGTTTCTATCCCCCATGGTTCTTCCTTTTCTTTTATCTTGTTCTACCTCTATATGTTGCATTCTTGAATGTCTCCATTTAATCTGTCATTTCACTAATTTGTTCTTTAGCTCCATCTATTCTACTGCTGAGTTCACTGGATTTCAGACTTTATAGTTGTCCTTTCAAATGATTCCAGCTGGTTCTTTTTCGTTGCTCCCATTCTTGTTTTCAGTGTTGCTATTTCCCCCTTATCTCTTTGAGAATATAAAAAGTACCTCCTAAATCCTTTTCGGGCTGCTCCATTTGCTCTCTTTACTCAGAAATACATTCTCCCATTTCCTTTCTTTTTTATGGGTCACTCCTGGGATCTCTGCCCCCTGGGTGCTTTGTGGTTCTTGGGGTGAGATCAGCTGCAGATTTCTCTCATAAGCACCCTGGTCATTGACTGCAAGAGGGGTTCCTCCCTGCCCTCATTCTTTAGAGCCCTGCCCATCACACAGGGCAAGAGTCCAGGGCCCAATGCTCACCTAGAGCTGCTTCCACTCCACCCTTAGAGGCCCTGGAAATTACTGCACAAATGCTCCCAAGTCTACCTCCAAAATCTACATGGGCCTCTTCTCAGGATTCAGATTCCTGAGGGCATACTGTTTATTTACCCTGAAGTTCAAAGTGTGGCCAGATGGCAGACGTTTGTAGGGACGTGTGAACAGAGACGAGAAAGAAGAGCTGGGGAAATCATGTGCATGCACGACAGACAGGCCCCTCACAACGAAGAACCGAGCCAGGGCTGGAAGAGAAAGGGGCAGATCACAGGTAGGCTCTCGCCTTGCTGCTGCATGCCTGCTCGGAATCCCAAGGAGTCTAAGAATTCTAAACCTGAACTTGTCCTTTTAACATGCTGCAAAGATATAATTGTGAGGGGATGGTGGGTGGGGGGCAGCAACAAAAAAGAGAACATAATTTGCTTAATAGATATTAGCTTGTTTCATAATTTGAAAATATCTATGCACATGGTACGTGGACCTCCCTCTGAGCCCCTGCCCAGGGCCCCACAAATGGTAGGAGTAGGCCTGATTCATAAAGGATTTTGTGGACACTTCAACCTTAGTTCTGCCTAGGGCAGGGCACCAGATGAGGGGTTTTTTGCCCAGTGAAGCTTCTCTGAGCCTCTGTCTTGCTCTAGTCCTTCTGCAACTTAATTTAGAAACCCCTATCACACACTAGAGATAAAGTCCAAGGTCCCAGGCAGGAATGCCTGACTCAGAGAGCACCTGGCTATAATCTTAAATAGGCAGGTACCAGGCTTCAGCCCCTTCTGTGTGCAGGACAAAAGTTCTGGCCACGCCAGCTCAGGCAGATAATTTGGATCTGGCTCCCTGCTATTCACAGTCTCAGCCCAGAAGGTCCCAGCTATTCCTTTCTCTTAGGAAGAAGTCTCCATTTCTACATTATGGAGACTTTCTTCTTTGTTTTTAAATGTGGCTATATGTTTATTAATTTTTTTCCTATATTTGTTATGCATTTAAAGGAAAGGTTTTAGCATATTTTTAATTTGTCATCTAGACCTAAAAGTAGAGTCTCAGCTTTAAAGTGTGGGTGCTGAGAATGCTTAATCTGATTTCTTTAAGTGAGCCAGGAAACAAGAATCAAAACTAGAGTTCAGAGCCAGATGCAGTGGCTCACACCTATAATCCCAGCACTTTGGGAGGCAGAGGCAAGAGGATTGCCTGAGCCCAGGAGTTCTAGACCAGTCTGGGCAACTTGGCGAGACCTCATTTCTACAGTAAATCGAAAAATTAGCCAAGCATGGTGGCACACACCTATAGTTTCAGCTACTTGGAAGGCTGAGGCAGAAGGATCTCCTGAGCCTAGCAGGTCGAGGCTGCAGTGGCTGTGAGCGTGTCACTGCACTCCAGCCTGGGCAGCAGAGTGAGACTCCAACTCAAAAAAAAAAACAAGCAAAACAAAACTAGAGCTCAGATATGAACATTGCCATTGTCTGGGATGCAGACCTGATCACAGTTATTTGTTATAATGAGGGGAGAACGTAATCTCATTTTAATAAAATCATCACACTGTTTAACTATCTCCATGACATTAGAGGAGTTGGTTAACTTCTCTGATTCTCGGTTTTTCCACCTACAATCAAGTGAGTTAGATAAGATAATTTCTAGTAATTTCTAAAGGCACTCTCTCTTGTTTTTAGTTTCATGTCATACAGGCCTAGGCCAGACTGTATTATATTCTAATTTCTGAGCGTGAAAGGTATTTAGCATATACCCACAATTTAAAAGGAATTATCTAAATCACCCAATAAAGTATATAAAGGAGCTTTGATAAACTGTAAGCTACTTGGGCAAATTAAGATAATATTATTACATATACAGGGATGTGCATTCCGTATTATACATTCAAAAAAGGCTTATTCATAGGAAGTATGATTGCTCAGTGAAAAGGAACTGACTTCTTAGAAGGGGAGTGGTGAGTAGTTAGCAAAACAACCACAATATTAAGGTGAAATATGACTTCAGTTTCAGGAATAGAGCGCAATAAACCTATTTACAATGCAAAGGAAATATCTCTATTTGAACAGAAGTATCAGAAAAAGTGTGAGTCTATGAAGTTGCTATACTGAGCAAGATACTTGAAATAGCAACACTGTAAACCACAGTTCCCTGTATACAGGTCACTTCAACAGCATGCATGGCTACCAGTACCATCATCCAAAACTATTCAAGAGAATTACCAACTCACCCCAAGTAAGAGTAGCCAGGGTCAAGAGCTCAGGGATTGAATCCTGACATACTACATATTCTGGAGAATATGGATCTGTTTGAACATCAGCATCCCGATAATCAGTCTGTGTGCCCACTGTAGACTTTGAAGAGATGGGTAGGGACTTAGTAGAAGCGGGAGGAAAAGTATATGGTTCTACCCTAAAAGGAGAAAATTTGTTTAAAATTGAAACCCAATATGATCATTTTATTATTTTATTTTTTAAATGTACCTCCCATTTTTACTGTGCATACACATATACACAATATATCTTTTAAGTGGACTTTACAATATATAGCTTTTCTCACCTGGCTTACAATGAAACATATTGTAAAAATTTTCTCTTTTCTTCTACAACAGTTAAAATAATTGCATAGTTTGGAGAAACCATAATTTATTAAGCAATCTGTGGGGGAAATGCAGTATAATTTTTTTCCAAGGAGACTTCATTCTTTTTACAATGCCTTGAGAAAAAAAAGGGGTCCTCGTCTTAGAAAGATTTCTACAGATGATGGAAACTTGCCCTTCAATTTAGCCCTTCAGTTTGCTTCTCTCCACTTACCTAATTACCAATCAATTAATCCATTGATCTGTTCCCAAGCTGTCTCTCCCATTTGCTTCCTCTTTTCTCTCCGGTTGCTGGCACACATGCAGATTTCCCTTACTCCAGCACTCCCAATCCCCCCCCACCCTTAAAGAGGTTTTCTTTCCTTTTAAAGATACTGTCTTAATTGATTTTGATAAACTCTACTCTGAACTTTATCCTTAGTTCCATATTACGATTAGCCTCTAATAATCTGAAGATAGAATTCAATTGTTTAAAAAAAACTAATTCGGAAGACCTTGGTAGAGTTACATGTATCAAGAGTCATAGGACTTGGACACAAGTAGACATGGCTGACTTTCTTTTGAAAAAAAGAAGTTGTCGGCTGGTCCCAGCATTTTGGGAAGTAGAGGCAAGAGGATTGCCTGAACCCAGGGGTTCGAGACCAGCCTGGGCAACTTGGCAAGACCTCATCTCTACAATAAATCAAAAATTTAGCCAGGCGTGGTGGCGTGTGCCTGTAGTTCCAGCTATTTGGAAGGCTGAAGGGGAAGGTCACCTGAGCCCAGCAGGTCAAGACTGTGGTGGCCATGAGCATGCCGTTGCACTCCAGCCTGGGTGAAAGAGTGAGACTCCAACTAAAAAAAAAAAAAAGTTGTTTCTGCAGGAATGGGAGGGCAAGATAAAAGTAGTTGGCACTTTCAGGGAAGTGTTAGGGACCATTATGGAAATCTATTTCCTATTTTAAGGCAACTGACAAATAATCATCTTCAATTACAGTACTGGAGCAGCAGCCTTTACTGGTCATGACACTTGCACGATACCTAAACTTGTATTTCCAGAAAAAGGTCAATGTCAATTAATCGTAACTTTGTACAGAAAGGCAGATGCCAGCTAGCATAAAAGTAATACATGCAGACTGTGGTAGTTCTGGAGTCCTGGAAGCCATGAGGTCCTCATCCATCACGGGTCTGCCACAGCCAGGCAGAGATGACTAAGGAAAGCAGCAAAGCTGGCCATGCCAGCCCTTATACATGGCACACTTCCTGGGCAACCAGGTATCATGGGGCATGGGCACGCAGCTCTCTCTGCGCATATCATGCTCACAGTTCCGTACATAGAAGGGCGAGGGGCAGGCGAACTTCAGCAGGGTTCCATTCAGACAGCAGGTTCTGCGCAGCTGTTTACTGTCCTGTATTACTATGGATGGCACCAACTGGGAAGACCAAGGACAAATGGCAGGCTCCTCCTGGGGCCTAATGCTGTCATCTCTGAGGGCCAGGTCTCCTGAAGTGGATGTGTGAGCTTATGGTGGTCCAACCCGGCAATGAATCCCAGAGCAAAATGCTTTGGAAATGGCCATGATCTGATCATTTTAAAGATTATACAATCAAGTAGGAATAAATCTTTGAGCTTCACACAGTTCATTCCCTCTTTAAACACTGACAGGCACAAAGTTATAAGTCCATTATAATTAGGATTATGCCCAAAAATCTTAAGAGAATTGCTTTGTTAGTCTTACCTCTGCCAAGAAACTGAGGGGGTGTAAGTACCATGGTTTACTCATAAGAGTGCCTATTGATATGTGTGTCACTGGACAAGGTTGTAGAACAGCATTATAAAAGGTAGATTCTAGGCCAGGCATAGTGGCTTATACCTGTAATCCCAGCACTTTGGGAGGCTGGGCCAGGAAGATCACTTGAGGCCAAGAGTTCGAGACCAGCCTGGGCAACATAGCAAGATCTCACCTCTACAAAAAATGTTTATAAATTACCCAGGCATGGTGGCACACACCTGTAATCCCAGTTATTCAGAAGGTTGAGGCAGAAGGATCACCGGAGCCCAGGAGGTCAGGGTTATGGTGAGCCATGATCGTGCCACCGCACTCTAGCCTGGGAGACAGTGAGACCCCCCAACTCAAAAAAAAAGGTAGATTCCAGAATGTTGTACAGAACTTCTGGCCCTATTCAGGATTGCTGCATTCTCTGGTTTCTTTCTTCTCTGTTTTCAGTTAGACACCCATCTCTGTTTCCCTCTAGGAATGCAGGAAAAGAGAAAATAGAAAAGGTGCTTTCTGCTGAGAGAAATGGAAGGAAGGAGGGAAGGAAGACAGGCTCTGGATAGATGATTCAATAATTAATGCCAGGATAACTCGGTTAACATGTAAAAAATTTACCTCTTCTCTTGCACAAAAACTAATTCCAGATCTTTTAAAAATCTTAATGTAAAAATGAGACTAAAAAAGTACAAACAGGAAGCACAAGTAAATATATTATCTGTGATTTAAGGTCTTTATAAACATGGTCCAAAAGCCAGAAACTATAAAAGGAACGATTAATAGAATTGAGGGCAAGTTTAAACTTCAAATACCTCAAAATATTTTTTTTTTTTTGAGTTGGAGTCTCACTCTGTTACCCAGACTGAAGTGCAGTGGCTGCTCCCGGCCACTGCAGCCTCAACCTGCTGGGTTCCGGCGATCCTTCCACCTCAGTCTTCCAGGTAGGTAGAACTACAGGTACACGCTACCATGCCTGGCTAATTTTTGATTTATTGTAGAAATGAGGTCTCACTAAGTTGCCCAGTCGGGTCTCAAACCCACAGGCTCAGGCAATCCACTCACCTCAACCTCTCAAAGTGCTGGGATTACAGGCTGAGCCACCAAGCCCGGCTGCCTCAAAATATTTTTTAAAATGTTAAAGAGCAAGTGGCAAACTTGGTAATAGATCTTGCAATATGTATGATAAAAAGTTAACTAGCCTTTCTACATTAAAAACCCTTGTAAATCAATAAGTCACTTAAATACCCCACACAAAAATGGGGAAAGGACAATTCACAAAACAAAAAGTAAAACATCTAACAAACATATGAAAAGATAATTAACATACTAGCAATCCAAGAAAAGTAACTTAAAACATCAAGATACTATTTTATGCTATTTTATCACGCAGCCAAAGATGTAAAAGATTAAAAGCACCTAGCACTGATAAAGTTGTGAAGAAACAGGCATTCTTATAAACTGCTGATGGAAATACAAATAGGTACAACCTATCTGACAAGTAATTTATCAAGATACATAAAACCCTTTGCCCTAGCAGTTGTATTTCTAGAAATTCAGCCTAGGAAGAATAATTAGACAAGCGTACAAAGATATACATGCAAACATATTTATAAAGTCTCATTTTTAAGAGTAAAAAATCATCCAGGCTCGGTGGCTCAGCCTGTAATCCCGTGCTTGGGAGGCTGAGGTGAGTGGATTGCCTGAGCCCGCCGGTTCGAGACCCACCTGGGCAACTTGGCGAGACCTCATCTCTACAATAAATCAAAAAACTAGCCGGATGTGGTAGCACACGCCTGTAGTTCCAGCTACTTGAAAGGCTGAGGCGGAAGGATCACCAGAGCCCAGCAGGTTGAGTTTGCGGTAGTCGGGAGCATGCCACTACACTCCAGTCTGGGCAACAGAGTGAGACTTCAGCTCAAAAAAAAACTCCAAAACTGCTTTAGTTTGAATGTGTGTCTCCTTCAAAATTAATGTTTAAACTTATCTCCATTGTGGTGGTACTAAGAGGTGGGGCCTTCTGGGGAAATGATTAAGTCACGAAGGTTCTTATAAAAGGGTTGGAGGGAACTGACCCTTTTTGCCCTTCCGTTCCTTCTGCCACATGAGGACAGCTCTAGAACTTCAAGAAATAAATTAATAATATTTATAAATTACCCAGTTGTGATATTTTCTTATAGCAGCACAAATGGATGAAGACAAAACTCATGTAAGAAATATATTTTAGCCAGGCTCAGTGGCTCAGCCTGTAATCCCGCGCCTTGGGAGGCTGAGGTGAGTGAACTGCCTGAGCCCGTGGGTTCAAGACCTGCCTGGACAACTGGGTGAGACCTCATCTCTACAATAAATCAAAAAATTAGCCGGGCATGGTAGCACACGCCTGTAGTTCCAGCTACTTGGAAGGCTGAGGCGGAAGGATTGCCGGAGCCCAGCAGGTCGAGGCTGCACTGGTTGGGAGCGGCCACTGCACTACAGTCTGGACGACAGAGTGAGACTGCGACTCAAAAAAAAAAGAAAATAAATATATTTTATATCATAACCCATTACATATATACAAACAACATGCATATATTTATCTGAAACAAAAATTATAATCAAAAAACAACTTATCCTGAATATGTCTAATGCTAATTATTATTTTCTATCATCTCGTTTTTTTAAGTGTTCATGGCCCACTAGAAGATTTCATACCTTCCAGTGGAAAACTAATGTCATGAAATGTTTTTTAGATCCTAAAATTTTAGGATTCAGTGGTTTGTAATCTACAGTTTGAAACATATTTAATTAGAGAACTATTTTCTGAAGGCAAACATGAAAGCAAACAAAAAATAAAATGAACTGAAAAATAGTTTTTAAGTAACGATTACTTACTTGGTTATTGCATAAACAACACTGAATGGTATCTGTTGATGAAATGGAAGGAAAGGCCTGGAAGGAAAAGAAAAACATAAAGATATGGGACTTTTGCACATGTGGGTGCAGGCTAAACTTCCTCCAACTCTAATATTTATCCCTTAAAAATCAATGAACTTAAATATCCCATATATCCATGTTATTCAAATGTTGGCAAATACAAAATCACTAAGGAATAGGGAAATTATTGTTTAAAATACAAATTCCCAGGTCTGCTTCTTGAGATTTAGTAGATATAAGGTAAAGTCAATGAATCTGCAAGTTTTTGTTTTTTCTCTGAGTTGGAGTCTCACTCTGTGGCCCAGGCTGCAGTGCAGTGGCATGATCACGGCTCATGGCAGCCTTGACTTTCTGGGTTCAGGTGATTCTTCCATCTCAGCCTCTTCAGTAGCTAAGGGTACAGGCATGCACTACCACACCCGGCTAATTTTTTGGTAGAGATGAGGTCTTACTATGTTTTCTAGGCTGGTCTCAAACTCCTGGGATCAAGCAATCCTCCCACCTCTGATTCCTAAAGTGCTGAGATTATAGGTGTAAGCTCGAGCCTACGCCCAGCCTGCATTCTTACTAAACACTCCGGTATTTTCTCTGCGGATGGTAAACAGGCCACACTTTAAGAAATAGTGTCCTAGCCGGGCTCGGTGGCTCAGCCTGTAATCCCGTGCCTTTGGGAGGCTGAGGTGAGTGGATTGCCTGAGACCGCGGGTTCGAGACCCGCCTGGGCAGGCAAAACCTCATCTCTACAATAAATCAAAAAATTAGCTGGGCGTGGTAGTGCACGCCTGTAGTTCCAGCTACTCGGAAGGCTGAGGCGGAAGGATTGCCAGAGCCCAGCAGGTCGAGGCTGCGGTGGCCGGGAGCGGCCACTGCACTCCAGTCTAGGCGACAGAGTGAGACTCCAACTCAAAAAAAAAAAAGAAATAGTGTCCTATACTTGGACTTCAGGTGGTCATTAGTGCCCAATAACTTCTCAAGTTCCCCAAAACATTCTGAAATTCCCAATGACATAGTTTAAAGCTTCCTCCAAAAAGTCTAGAAATTGAGTATACTGTAGAATTTAATATGTCTCTGAAAAAGTTAGCATTACAAAATTTTCTTAAGTAGGGTGCTCATAAACAGTAATATGGATTAGAAATTTACTTTCTCAAGGAAGCTCACGAAGATGTGGTGTCAAGACTATTTTTTCTAATTCAGGTAAGATCTATAGGGAAATCTCCATCTGATTTTAATTTAGTCTGAGTATATGACTGTCACATGGGTATTAATCACAAATGAAATAAAATGACTCTGACCATGTTGGTTTTGGCAACATTCACATAAAGAGAGCAAACATAACCCATTTGAACACATTTAATAATTTTCTCTTCACTATGACTGCATGTTATCTCTACAGTCATACTGCATGTGATGACTTCATTTTGTCTTCAAATACATTTTCTTAGTTGCAGTGAACACCTCTAAAGTCAGGCTGGCTTAACTGGAATCCCAGCTTTGCCACATGTTAGCTTATACGACCTTGAGCAATCTATTTCTCCTCTTTTGGTCTCAGCTGCATCACTGGTAAAATGGGGATCATATACATCCTACCCTAGGTTCCTGTTGTAAAAAGTAAATGATATATGTAAAGTACTTAAAATGGAGTATGGCACATTGCATGTACTTAAAAATGGCAGCTGTTATCATTGTCCTAAAGAGGTTCTCTAATAGTATCAGGGCTGACATGTTCATTTAGTAATTACATCCTACCTTTCAAAGTATTTGTAGCGATTTTTTCCAGTAACTTCAGGATCTTCATAAACTTCTTTAGGCCTCTGAAAAGAAGTATCAGTTCTAAAATGAAGCAGGAAAACATTATTCAAGTCTCATATGTTTCCACATACAATTTCTATTTCACATTTCTATGTCTATAAAGTAGGAGATATACAGAATATCTCATACTGAGAACAAAGTCTTCTATAACATGCATTTGACATATCTTAGGCTAGATATGATCCTTCCCCTGGACCAGGAAACCAAGACCATATAAGAGAAAATGAGAGTTGAGAAAAGAGTAGATTTCTGAAATCCCACATATAAAAATGCCTATTTTAATTAAAAGCAGATGAGAATACCAAAGTTTCAAAAGACAATTCTTTGACTAGGCTAAAAGACATTAATATTTTTTAATTTACTAAAGGTAAACTTGTAAGTAATTAAAAGAATACGGAATTCAGGACACTTATCTTTGAAGGTGCTTTGGCTGCAAGTCTCTAAAAAATATGTTAGATACTAGCTTAAAAGCATTTTCAGTTTCTAAGATGGATCAAAGGAACAACAAACTCAGTCACTTCTATCACTGGCGGCAAGTTGTCATTTACTATACACATATTCACACCAACTTTACAAAGCAATACACCTATAACCACAGCTCCTTCATCAGGCTTGTTTTGGTCAAAGGGGTTTAGAGAAAGAATTTGGCCTACATACAACGTCACAACAATATATTTTTAAATCATGCAAATTAGATTAAGAAATTCACAAAGAAAAAGGCATTCAATAGAAACACGAATATATGAAGGAGCTGGAGCTGACACTTACAAGGCAAGCTGCCGGAGGGTTTCTTTGTGTTTCTCCTCATGTCCCCTCCATTCCCGACTGATAAATGGTGGGACAGGATCTGCCTTGCTCCAATATAGAGAATATCTTGGATAATGGATCAGGTTACTGAACATGGTTCTAAACCTGGGAACTTTTCTCTATTAGGAAAGGGAGGCAGGGAGGAAAAGGATATACCATCAGATGGAAAGTATTTAGTTAGATTGTAAACTTTTTTTTTTGAGTTGGAGTCTTACTCTGTCACCCAGACTGGAGTACAGCTGCTGCTCCCAGCCACTGCAGCCTCGACCTGCTGGGCTCCAGCGATCCTTCCGCCTCCACCTTCCGCGTAGCTGGAACTACAGGCACGCACTACCACGCCCAGCTAATTTTTGATTTTATTGTAGAGATGAGGTCTCACCAAGTTGCCCAGGCAGGTCTCGAACCCGTGGGCTCAGGCAATCCACTCACCTCAACCTCCCAAAGTGCTGGGATTACAGGCTGAGACACCGAGCCCAGCTGTAAATGTTTTTTAAAAGGTGCAAAACACTGTCTATAGCATAGAAAGAGAGGTCACTAGTATATCCATAGACAACCCCTAAATGGATGCCCAAGAAACTAATGACAATGGCTGTTTATGTGAAGGAGGGTAGGGCCACAATTTACTTCACACTATACATATGTTTTTGCACTATCTGAATTCTTTTAGGTAATATAACAGACATATATTCCTTTTCCCATTGAAATACATTAGTCTATGGGTCCTTTATTCATTATTAGTGAATTAATCCTCACAATGAGCCATAAGTATTAAGATGCTTTGCCCCCTAGTAATCATGGCAAAGTAATTTCTGTGGAACCTAAAAGCCAGTGGCAATTTGGTGATGTCAATCTGATTAATGCAATTAGTCAAACTAGATGGTTCAGGTTCACTAAATAGCTTCAGTTGATGAATTAAGACATACCAGTCGGCTGCCAATCAGGGTGGCTTGGATATTTGCCTGTGTGTAGTCTTGTTCACTTGACACAGTAAACAATGGATCTGAAAAACATACAACAAAGTAGCATAAGGAACAGAACATATCTACTTCTAGATTGAGAACAATGGCAAAGCAATGGGATTTCTTAATTAGAAAACAAATGAAAAAGTATTGCGTCACTCTGCAACAGCTCACGCCCTGCCGTGCATGTGGCTCTGTTACCCTAGCACTTCTAGCAGTGAGAGCTAGACGTATTTCTTTCCTGTGTGTTCCAAGTCAGCTTATGGAATTGGAATGCAAAAAAGAAAGCCTCACACAGTCTCAAGTACCATACCTGAAACACACTTTCTTCTCTCCTATGAACAAACCTCCTTCTGGGTCTGGGTTGCCCAAGAAACACTTCAAGAGGAAAGACCTTATATATATGCACTATGCCTGTCTGCAAGTGAAAGAAGCAATAAATTTAGACAGTGCCTCCCATATTTGGTACATGGGGAAGATGCAAACAGCATGACGTTTCAGAATTGGTAGACATGGTAAGAAAACATCGTCCTCTAGCAAGACAAGTAAGATCAGCCATCTTTAGAATCCACCCCTTAAGTTTTTAAGCATGTTGCCTGTCGTTCCAGCTACTTGGAAGGCTGAGGTGGAAGGATTGCCGGAGCCCAGCAGGTCGAGGCTG